GGTATCCACCGTGGGACTACGGTACGGGTGGATGACTAGTTGCCTCACATGGAATAGCTGGTCTACACAATGGAAGGATTGGTAGATTGAGTGCGAAAATGAAGGTAATGGAAGGATTGGTAGATTGAGTGCGAAAATGGAGGTACTGGTTCCCCTTGGCTCAGTAGGGGTTGTTAGTCAGTAGTCAATGAGGACATTGACATCTCTGAAGCTGGTCTACACAATGGAAGGATCTCTCATCAAGCAATTGCCCCTTTTCCAGTTGACTTAAAGGATGAGATTTGGATATACTGTCACCGTGGATCCTTGGAACCTTGGGGGATAAATGGGGATAAAATAGCCACTAAGGGTTCTCTCATCAAGCAATTGCCCCTTTTCCAGTTGGCTTAAGGGGAGAGAGATAAGGTGCGTTACATTTGGGCTCACTCCATTATTGCATCTGTTAGGTTTCATGTTAGGCTAGATATTTTGTTCAAACTCACTATGCTCATCCTCACTCTACAATCCATATCATTTGTCCTCGTCCTCACTCTATCATCAGGGCTGAACTCCCATCCATCCCCTCTACCCCCTCCTTCAAAGAAAAAAAAGGTTGAAATGTCGAAGCAAAAAGGAGAAAATGAGAAAAATTGAGGAAAAAAAATTGTGAAAGAAGAAAAAGTGGATAAAGAAATATCAGAAGAGGAATTTGCAATAGCTGACAATGCAAAAATGGGAAAATCAAAAGAAGGATATGAGCTCAAAACTTGGAAAATAAAAGATTTTTTATTATAAAATACTTTGGCCACCATAATATAAACAAAATATTCACACTGCTCAACTTCCTCAACACACAATTCAACACTTAAGACGGGAAAATCATAATAACGTCCACACTCAAGAGAAATATAAATTCCTTGGCAATAATGATAAAACAAAGGCTCTCAGTGGCATTCATAAGTAGAGATATGCACTCAACCTGAAATTATAGCTAAAGTGACTGAACCATTGGAATAAAGGAATATTCAACACTAAAACTAATCAAAGACTTTACTAACGAAACAAAAACAAAATTCTTAACTTTATGCATATACTCAATATTTAGATTAATATTAAAATGATAGAAAAACACTTAACTCAACATTGGATTGAGAATGAGAATCATAAGAGTCAAAAATGATTAATGTGTCAAGAGAATGAAATATTACAAACAAAGAAGGAACACTAAGAACATAAGAAAGTGGTTTAGACCGAGAAATAAGAAAAGGTTGGGAAAGAGTAAAAAGTAAAGAGAAAAGAACAAATGGTAAATTGAAGGATTGACATCTACCCTGTAAAATCTCCATTTGATCTTTAAGTTATCTCCATAATAATCAAGTTCATTATCACACTTTGAAATCCACTCAAGCTCATACACATTATCTTCCTATAAACTTGATCTTGAATATTCTTTTAAGAATCAGATTGCATTATCCATACCTTGCTAATCAATGTCACAATCATGCTCCATATCAATGAAAGATGGTAGAACATTGAGAATAAAATAAGTTGTATAATCAAGTCCTATGGAAGTTGAAAACAGTAATACACCAAAGATAGGTGTAACACTAATATCATCACACCCCACAACACCAAAAGTTTGATCTAATAGAGTAATATTAACAACCTTAAGTAACATACTCCTTAATCAATGACAACATGGCATAGTAGAAAAATACAAATGCAATGAATATCAAAAGAAGAGTAGATCTAAGTATAACAATAACTAGAATTCTAGATTTTGCAAAAAGATAATACAAATCTAGATTTAAAAGAAAATGAAGAAATATGAATAAAAAACACAATCCTAAACACTAAAGCAAAGCATTACCTCTTCAGGGACAAATTGCAATGCCCCTCATCCCCACCAATATAAGTGCTTGAGAAATAAGTATACTAATTGGGGCTTAGAATTTTTTTTATATACAAGAATGGATGGACTAGATTCAATCTCAAATGGATTGTCCATATACTATAATATTATAATTAGTGTATTATTGAGCAATACATATATATACATGTATGTATTTACAAACATTACACTAGAATATTTAAGCAGGCATTCAAGAAATTATTCTTTATGCTCTTTTGTGAGACAGAGCATCTATGACAATAAAAAAAGCCGTCACTATGTGGTTGATAGGACCAAATGTAAACAAATTACAAATTGTTTTTGACAATCTATTGATGCAAAAAATGCAACAAATTAAAGACACTAGAGTGATCTTTCCCTGTGTGTTATTTCTTTTGAAGAGTTTTTTGACCAAATTTGGCAACACTGCATAATCCAATCTCATTCATCTCAAGAGCAACCTTATCGTGTTGTTTCTGTGTGAAAGTACTTACATGAACATGCTAGCTTCCAGGTACACTGGGAAGCTTGGAGCTACTTTGCTCGTTCAAGATGGTTCCCAGGCATATCCTACATACATACCATTCACAATATGTAAGAAGCTGTTGAGATATTGTTCTCCAGGCATACACTGTGGAACCTGAGTTTTCTGTGAAAATTCATTATACACTTCACGTATACTTCTTGTCAAGTTATTACGCTAAAAGTTGGAGTGGAGCTCTAGATCCACTGCTGCTAGTAAAACCTGATACAACTCAACAGAAATATCAGAAAAAGAAAAAAATATAAAGCAAGCATACTTGGTTTAACATGTCTATAGCTCTCAGTGTTCTAGATGATTTTATATTTTGAAACAGCGATTCAAGAAGTAGCTCGCCTGTTTTGTAATGCTTGGCAAAGCTTGATAGTGTGTCCCTGCAATGGAAATTTATTATATAACCCTTCTAAATTAGCACCAGTTCTCCATGAATTGCGAGGGGAGATCTACCGCATCTCGTTCTACATTTTGCATACCTGAAACGAATATCACGTCTTGCGTCGTGAGCATGTGTTGCAAAGCGTGGCCAAACTCGTGAAACAGTGTTTTCATCTATACAACCATGAAATCAAATCAATGGCTATAAAATGACTATAAAATGTAATATATACCTCGTCAAATGTCATCAAGCTTGGGTTGTCTCCGAGAGGCGGCGTCTGATTGCAAAAGATGATACAAGCTGGGAGTCGGATGTCACAACCCTCTGGTGCAAGAGCTCGACTTCTCTTTGGCACACACCACCTCTTTTCTCCGGCGGCCTTGAGTATGGATCTATGTAAAAGTAGACAAGCGTTTCTTTTGTATCCATATCTTTCACTCTGAAAAACCTCACGTCGCCGTGCCAAATCTACGGAGAAGACACACAACTCCTCTTGAAGTGCACGAAAGTTAAAACACTTACGTGCCACGAGGTTGTCTGCAGCATCAATCTCTATTGAAAAGAGTCTTTTTGCAAGCAAGAACAAGCCTTCCAATACCTGAGGGAATGCAAAGAATGGCCTGAACTCTTCCTGCAAATAATTCATGAATTCGTGGACAGTTAATTGTAAACGCTCATGTCAAGCTTCTCGTAGCCTTTCCATCCAGTATGGAAGTTCCCAAGGCATGAGATCATAATTCTCACCATTGGACGCTGCGAGAGCCTTCAAAGCCTCCAGTTCTGGAACATTCATGGAGTAAAGTTTCATATCATCCCAAAAAAACTAAACGTTTCCAAAACTTTTACCTTGCAAAGCGTGATCCCATGTACCACTTCGAAGGTTTTCTAGCATTTTCAAAAGCATACTAACCTGGAAGAGAATCATAAGACCAAAAGAAGAACAAGGAAAGCTTGAATCACCTCGGCATAGTTCTTGTAACCAAGAAGTTTGGCTTTCAAATTTCGGAGTTCTAAGATCCGTGTCAAGATAGGAGTGTTGTTGAACTCCCCCGAAGAAGCTTTGTTTCTGTAAGCCACATACAACTCCTCTCGGGCTTTCCTGTTTTTCAGATGCTTCATCACTCAGAAATAACTAGATTTATCGGTCTTGAACAGCCAAGGCCCAAGCTCTGGAGTTGCAGCTTCATAGCCCTGAGAAACAAAAAAATATGTGAGCTTTTATATTGGGTTTAGAAGTAACCACCTCTGAAGCTGCTGCTTTTGCTGCAAGTGCCAGAGATGTTGCTGGCAATCCCTCAACTTCTTCCACACTAGTAACTAGTTTGCCATATTTTCTAACGGAATCGAGGATATTGCCACTGAATTTTCTAGTCAGCTCCATTAGTTCCTGGATGTAGTATTATAGAAAAAAACATGATCAATGCAAAGAATACCTTTTCATACTGGTTGAAGAGCTTCTTTTGTCCATCTACCCCACTTACAATTGCCTTCTTAACGTAGCTTTCCACAGTTCTTTTCTGTGCGTCATTGAAATCCTGGAAGCTCGGGCCTTCTCGAGGTGCCTTGAAGTTCTGAAAGAGAGGCTTGCTTTGGACAAGCTTGAGATCTAAATCTTTTCATTGTGCCTAGAAGAAACAGATTTTGGTGTCTCTCGCACAAAAATTACAATCTCTAGAGATACCTCGATTTCCTACAAAAGAACCTTAGTTACTCAAGTAAAAATCAGTAACATTTTATTGACATTTCAAACACCAATCCAGAGTAAGTTACAAAAAAATGTGATAATATACAAAGCTAAAAGCTAATGAGTTAGTGTTTTCATCATATAGAAAGATAATTCTAAAAAGTAAAAGTAGCCTATGTAAAATAAAAAAGAAATCAAATGTCACCTACTGCAACCCAAAGCTCCTTTGAGTCTTTCATGTGCTGAAGATGGTTGACAACGCTGCAGCTGACAGTCAGTGTGTCCATGATCCGCTCCAAAGGAATAGCGAGAGAGTCCCATGAATGCTCATTGCATGCTTCTAGAGCTACCAGCTCTAAGTAAGAAAAGGAAATACCAGTTGCTGGAATAGCTGTGGAAACGCAGGAAGTATACGCGCAAGCTCTAGTGGCAGCTTGGATCCAGGAACGCGTACAAACTCCCATCTTTCCTCGTCCAAAATAAAAGCGCCGTGACAAATATGGCTAGCAAGGAGCCTCTTTATGTCATCTCGAGAGAATGCGGGAGATTGAGCAAAATGACCAAACCATAGAGCGCTTGGTGATGAAGGCTTGGCTTGCAATCGCTCATCTTCTCAATTTCACAAATTCGTTTGTAACATGGCTAATACGTGGGAGTCGTCGTCCTCGAGTGAAAACTTCTCAATGGTGAGCTTTCGAGTTTTCCTTGTTTCAAGGACGAGCCCACCATCTCAGAAACCATCAAATAAAAGAAACAATACTTTATTGACGAACCAAAATTGTTTTCTCCATACCTATCAGAAACCAGCAGGGAAGTTGTGCACTTGGCCCTGCTCCAGGACGTCCTGGCCATCCACTTTGTAGCTGATTCGTATTCTCATGGCCAAAGGTTTCTGTCACAGCCAAATTCATCACAAATCTCTACAGAAGATTACGAAGCAAACCTGTCCAAGCATGCTGTTCTCGACTCTTATTGTTTGAGTGATTCTCTCTCCACCCTTAGGTTCAAGCTCGCTGTTGCTTGCAGGCTCCAGCCGGAGATGCAGGTACTAACAAAGCCAACACAAAAAGGAAAGATTGTTGGCTTGTCACAATCCGAATTCCTGCTCACCTTTGGAACCGCTGCCTGGAAAACAAAGTCCGTGTATGTCTTTCCAGAAGCATTCGCGTAAGATGCCAAAATCAGGGTCAACTGGGGGTTCTCAGGGACTTTTTTGAACTCGAAAGTTACGCTCAAGGCCTCACTTTGATAAGCAAGGATGGTCGGATACATAGGAGCTGCAAACACACACAAACGTGGTGTTAATACATACATAATCAAACAGCAATTGATTAGTTACCACCATTACTGTCTCCAAGGTCCCCAAGAAGGTCCATATCCATACCAGTGGGTTTCCTTGCTTCGACAAACGACTGCTTAATCGGTTGAGAGAGCGAATCCAGGCCACTGCTTGCGATCACAGGTTGTCGTGAAGAAGAGCCGACGGATAAAAGATCCATCAGCACATCCGAGCCACCTCCTGAAGTTTGTTCTGCGTTTTCAAAATTGTCAGATGCTACTAACATATTATGTAGTAAGTCTGACCTTGAGGTGCAGAGGGTGCGCTTGGATTAGCTCCCAATAAATCCAAGAGTACATCACCAGCTGATTTCCGCTGGACTGGAGGAGCTGGAGTGTCGTCCACGTTGAGGTCTAACAGATCTGTCAGGATTGGTTGTGAGCCTGGTCCATTAGATGTGGACACTGGACCAGTTTCGTGTATTGATGCTCTTCCATTTGCAAGCGATACTCCGGCTGCATCGGCTCGCTTGGTACTGTAGGCGGTTGCATCCAATGCTGGCATTTTCTCGAGTAACGCCCCTCTGCAAATCGGTAGAAACCACCCGTAAGTCTACCAAACGCATGGCTGCTGTTGCACTCACTTTATGTTTTGATGCTTGCTGAGGATGGACGTGAATTCAATGGCTCGCTGTTGGAGCTCAAGTATTAAGTTTCCTTTATATTGCATCATCACCTCCTTGATCCGGCTGCAAAGAAATAATTGAGCTTACAAACTGAAATCAAAGGTGCTTACTCTGCACATGAGGGAAAACGAGAAGAAAGTTTTAGCATTGCTGTAAGTGCGAAGGCCCGCGTACTGGAGCTCACTCGGAAATCTTTCAAAACATTTTCCAGCACGTCCACAGCATCCGACTCCGTAACCTGAGAGTCAGTGTCTTCACTTTATGTCACATCCAGTAATCCAGCTTACCGTGATTGGTTCTTCTCCCTCCAGCTCATTCGCATTGTTGACGAGCATTTCACCATACTCTCCAATACACCAAAGAACAACTTGAGCAAAGCTTTCCTGACCACCATATAGTCAGAGGCTTAATAACATAATCTCAAAACCACAGAATACCTGACCGTCCCAATGAGCAAATGCCCGGTACAACGCACGAACAGTATAACCGTGCAGATCAGGAGCATTGCTCACGACTAATAGAAGTGCTCGAATAACTTCGTCTTTCACAAATTTTCCCGCCTGACAAAAAAAACACTAACTTCAAAATTTAGACAAAATAACGTATTTTACCTCAACCATGACGTTGATCATCTGGTCAATGTACCACACTTTGCTTGGAGAGAACCTGTAAGTGGGAAATCAGCAGGCGACAAAAGAGATTTTCGGTGTAGTGTACTTTTGAACTAGAGAGCAAATTTTCCCAGTAAGATCGGCTTTGAATTCTGGATCGCTAACTTTTAGATATTCCAGCAGTTCCTTCGTCAGCGTCTTGACGTTGGTTTCGTTGACCAGCGCGTACACCAGATCAAGAGCCCGCCTTCTGATTGAAACGTCTGAGTCCTATACACGATTGCTCGTTTTAGTATATCCAAAATAGACAGCATTTACCTTCACACACTCTACTATGGTTGTACGATGTCTCTGCACAGCCTGCGTATCCACCGAGACTACCTTCACCAACGTATTAAGTGCAACATATCTGCACGCAAAACAAGAGATCTGGAGGTCCAGTATAAAGAGAAATCAACCTGGCGCACAAGATAACGTACCTAATATTGTTGTCACGGTTCGCGAGAAATCTTCCAAGAATGTTGATAGCAAGAACACGGAGACCGCCAATGGCCTCTATACCCATAATCGTCTGCACACATTCGTACAAGATTGCGTTCCCAGCATTCTTGTTGGACTCTGTATTAGTTGCCACCTGCCAGCCAAAAATGAGATTCTACTCGGGACTGGTATGAGAAGATACCTGAGCAAGAATATCGCTCATAACGTCGCTGGACTCGGAATCTCCATTCCCAAGGAGTCGAAGTAAACGCAAAACTCGTATTTGCAAAAAGGGATCTGTGATGCCTCCAACATCGTATTCCGGAGCGTAGCCACTCACAACCAGGTTTTTCAAGACGCGTACTAGTGTCATGGTATGCTGCAAGGGCGGCACTTTCAAAACTTCCGGATGAGAAAAGCCAAAACGTTACCTTTCTGAAATGTTCCAAAGCTTCCACACTCCCCTCGCACAATTCGGTACAAAGCTTTACAGCACCGAGAAGGACACCGTGATGCTTGTCATTCAGCAAGCTCGTACAAGGATTGAGAAAATTCTCAATAAGATCTGGGACCTTACGCACGATCCGGACCGAACACAGAGCTGCCTGCATTGCTTAAGAATCAAAAGCCTGCCTTTCGATTTCATAAACTTCTTTCTCTTACCTTTTTGCGTATGTAGGAGTTGCTGTTTTGAAGTAGCTTCTCCACCTCGGGTGCCAGATCCCGAGCCATCTCCGCTGTGCAGACGTTCCCCAGCGCACAAAGTGCCAATCCAGAAATAAACTGGTTGGAATGATTCAAGTCACTGCCGACGAAAGGAAAGAAGCCAAAGTCAGCATCTGGGAATGGATCCACAAGCTTACTTCTTGAGCGAGTTCGTCACCAGCATCAAAACCTCTTGTTTCTCATCCAGAAGAAGCATCAAGCCGAGGTAGCCGATGCGCTTCTCTGGAAATCCAGGAGAGGCAATGAGCTTCAAGCACTCCATCTGGCCAAAGTGCGTGGGATAGCCGAGCATATGGATAAACATAAGCTTGGCCACATTGCGATGTCTGTAGTCATGATCGTCCTCCTTAAACGCAGTGCGCAAATTCGCGCATTCTCTGGCAATCACGGCGCGCTCCTCGGCGGCGGTCTTACAAGCACGGACTGCCCGAATCATGTCCCTGGCGATAGAAAACGAGCACGAGTGAGGACGATTACCCTAAGCTCGAGACAACGAATCGAACAAACCGGAGCCTAGATCCCATCCTGGAGGCCGCAGTGTGGATCTCAGCTAGTCGGCGCCTTGCTCCGCTTGGCCGCGGCGATCGACGAGGAGGGAGATCACGGGCGCCCTACGTCCCTGTCCATGACGCTTGAAGAACAGAGAATTAGGGCTCAACAGAGAAAAGAGAAATATATTTTAAAGAGAAAGAAAATGCGCGAGAACGCAAGCAATGGAGCTGGATCACGAGCGAATCCATGGCCACAGTCGCTAGAACTGTGTAAGAATGGTGAGATTTCTTCCCCTTGTCATGGTAGAAAGGGGTGATTGGCTCTTGCGGCCTCGCATTCTCTCAGGTATTTCCTGACAACTCCATAGATTTTAGCTACAAAAGGAAAGAGAGATTCTGATTTGCAAAGACCTGGACGCCACGAATGCTCCATACGAGACAGTGCCAATCACCATGGTGATGTATGGAAGCCCTCGCAAAATTCTTTGCTTCCGGCTCATGATCGTGGCTCTGGTGGCGTGCGCGGATCTCCTGCCGCGGGAAATCGATGAGAAAAAGCTCGAATCGATGAGAAGAGAGGAGATTGATTACCCGGCGCTGCTGCCTGTGCCATTGAGGAGAAGAAATCTATACGCTTCGGTCACCTAGGTGAAAATCGAGTGAAATTTGGGGGATTTCCTTCGATCAATCAGACCCTACCGATTTGAACTGAGCTTCCGCGGCCGATTTCCGCGACGCATCGACGCGATCGGGGTGGAATTCCATGGCCTTGCTCCGGTAAGCGGCTTTCACCTGGTAGAGAAGAAATTCTAGCGAGCAAGGGAAGGAATTTCTTGGCAGAGTATGAGAGTGAGACCTCGGCGGCGGTAGCATCGCCATCGCCCAGGCCCAGGAGCTGGCGAGCCGCGCTGAAATTCATGGAGCTCCCCTGTTCCAGGGCAAACAAGCCCTAGGTAGCAAACGTCCCTAATTGTCTATCCGGGCCTGTTCTCCACAAGCCGCGTTGCGAGAGGATTTGGCCACCAGCTGAAAACTTTCAGGCAAATCGGGGAATCCCGTGCTCGATCCATGAAAAAGGTTGTACTTCTAGTTGTATTTATTGGCACGCAAAGTGGGATGGAAATGGTGTATAATTAAGGCATTAATATTACTAACATTTATATTAGTGGAATTGACATTGTTACCAAAAAAAAATCATTAAAGTTGTGAGTGCATGGAATATAGAAAAAGAATATAAAACATCTGTATATCAATTAACTTAAAAACTTTAACTTATATATAAGAGGTGTAGTTTGAAACTAATCCAATGGCTATTAAAATTTCAGTATGCTAATATTAGTATATTGTAAGCGACTAAATTTTCCATTCTACTTTAGTCACTTAACCACACCTCCGACCACTTGGAGGAGTCTCATTCACAACCTCCATAAGTCCAATCCAGGACTTGGGACTTGCTAGCCCCGAGAATGGCATCCATGCCACTCAACACAAGCAACTGGTCCAAGTGCTCCACGTGTCCGATCCCATGACCGACACTCAAAGGTACCACCGACATAGCAGCCCGTTACGCTAAGGCCATGCCCAATCACCTTTGCCACACTGGTAGTCCAATACCACTTGCATCACAGTCTTGGCTCCCCAAGACTAGGCAAACCATCCGTGAGTGGTCATCTCAGATCCACTCCTTAGCATCCTTAGGATGCCCACCGACAAGGGGAATAGCCTTCCCCAATATCCCTCTGTCAGTCCCCACTAAGTCCCTTTCTGCCCCTGGCCATGTTTGCCAACACTGCCACTGGACCGAGACCCACAGGCCCGACCACTAAGTCCCACGGTCCTCTGGGACTTCCTCACCACACGACTGTGTCCTTGGTCACTACCCCAGAGGACTGCTCCTCTTCCTTTCCACAGTCTGGGCCTTTGGGACAACATTTCGGAACACCGTGGCCTTACGCGAGCCACCTGGGTACTCTCCTCGCCTTCTACCCTTGGGTGCTCTAGCCATAGGCTTAGAGCGGGTTCCGTTGAGCCACACCAGGTATCCAAGTAGGTAGTGCCACCCACACTTGGACTGGGAGCATCGGCCAGTCGATCTCCCGGGGGAACTAGAGCCGGCTCTTGAACACTTCACCAAGCTACCCCGCTTGTCGGTCTGTGTTCACTCTAGTCTTGGACTTCCCAGTGGGCAGCTCATCACCCAACACTGGGTCCGGCCTTCCTGGGCCAAACTGGCCTTTCCTGGCCAAACTGGCTCCACTGCAGTGCTCCCCCTACTATACTTTTGGAGCTCACCAAACCCCCCAGGGTCTGGGAGACGAACGCTTTGGGCTTTCACCCTCTCAGGCTCCGGACTCGGACTCGGACTCGGACTCGGACTCGGACTCGGACTCGGATTCGGACTCGGACTCGGGCTCGGGCTCGGGCTCGGTCTCGGCCTCGGCCTCGGTCTCGGTCCCGATCTCGGTCTCGGTCTCCGTCTCGGTCCCGGTCTCGGTCCCGGTCTCGGTCTCGACTTCGGACTCCATCTCGGACTCCATCTCGGACTCCATCTCGGACTCCATCTCGGGTCCATCTCGGGTCCATCTCGGACTCCATCTCGGACTCCATCTCGGACTCCATCTCGGACTCCATCTCGGGTCCATCTCGGACTCCATCTCGGACTCCATTTCGGGTCCATCTCGGGTCCACCTCGGACTCCATCTCGGACTCCATCTCGGACTCCATCTCGGGTCCATCTCGGACTCCACTTCGGACTCCAACTCGGGTCCATCTCGGGTCCACCTCGGACTCCATCTCGGACTCCAACTCGAGTCCATCTCGGACACTCCCACGTGTCATGTGTTGGTCCTTTTGGGTCCCTTTTTGGAGCCTCTCCTTTTGCTCGCTTCGTGCTCATTCCTCGAGCACTTCGTTGGGAGTTCCACTCCCGCTCTTGACTTTTCAAGTCGGAGCTTTTGGTCCAAACGTGTTACGCTCTTTTGGCTCTCGCTTCGGCCACTACCATGTGGCGCCCTTCCGGCTCCACTTTGGGGCCTAGGGATTTTGTGTCTCACAACTCCACCACCCATAGACGAAGTTCGATGTCCTCATCGAACGGTAAACCATTTTGTAAAGTAACACCCGTATGTGTCACCATTTCCATCCTTGGCACCTAGCCAATATTTGTCAATGGTTTGACATTGAAGGCTCACCATGCCTTTTGCATATGCCTCAATGGTTTGACACCAAAGACTTACCATGCCTTGCCTATCCTCTAAGGAGGGTAGTCTCCCCAACTTAGAGACTGATTGGACCACAAGGATTGGTTCTCTCCTTTTATTGGTTTAGTTCTCGCTAAACCTCTTAGAGTCCCTTCTCTAAGTCAAACCCACTACTCCTTCTTGAGTAGTCTCAATTTCCATCGATATAACCTTTGCACTTTGGAACTTTGAATTTTGACTTCTTGGAGTCAATTTCCTAGGTGTCTCCGACACCTTGCCTTGCACCTTTTGTGCAACTCCACTTCCCATCCTAGGAAGTTCTCTACTCGAGGGCACCATCATCCTCTCTTCTATTTCGTGCCAAAGTTCTAGTTATCATACTTTGTGCTAGGGCTGTTCATGGCCCTATCATTTGGCTACCTTACCGCTCCCTCCCTTGGAGCTTCCACTTTTGCCAAATCGGAGCAATTCGGAATCCTTCCTTGGAAACACACTTCCTTTCCCGCAACTTGTTAGCGTCCAACACATTAGTGTTCCTCGCCTAACTTTGTCACTTGGATTCCTTCCAAGGGATTCCACGGCCCTATCTTGGCCATTCATCTTTTGCTCCTATCCGTTGATTGTTGCACCAAACAACATCAAATCTCTACCTCCCTCCTTGAGGTATTGTTTCGGTTCCATAGCAAAGACTCTTCTTTGCCAAGTCCGGAGGATGTTCACCCCTAGTACGTCTCTTTAGCATCTTCTGCTATAGGCTCTATCCACGGCCCAACTTCGTGACCCTCCCATGGGTCTTTTATAGAGACTACTTTCCTCGGACTCACTATGCCATTGCACGGACATAGTTTATTTCCCTTAGGTGCTCTTCCCACTTGGTTATCACGACCAAGCCACACCACCTTAAACAGTTCAATTTCAACATTTTGAACCAGGAACTTCATTCCTTAGCCAACCAAGGACCTTGTCCTTATCTGGCCATAAGATCACCTAGTGATCTCACCTTGGCACCTTAACAGAGTTGCCAAGAGGTACTTGGTCTTCTAGACCTCCAAGTTGTTGACTATAACCCCGGGGGCATCCCCCACACTTGGCGGTGCACCCAAGCTAGCCCTTACGGCCAAGGGTTCATAGCAACTGAGATTAGGTGTCCCCATCTCACTCACCACGACCTTGGTGCCACTTGCACCAAAGTGTTCAAGTTAGATATGCTGAGCTTTCACACTAAGCAATCTAACCGTGCATCACGACTCCGAGGCATCCCTCGCTTGGCGGTGTGCCCAAACCAGTCTCCCCACTGAGAGTCCATGACCACCGAAATATGAGTGTCCTCATATTCCAAACCATCACCACGCCCTAGTGATTTGGGACTCGAACCCAAGCACTAGAGGGTCGGGACTCGAACCCAACCTCCGTATATGCATCTACGGACGGCATCACACTAGATGCCGGGCGTGACTCCCCACGCCGGTGCACCAACCTATTTTTAAAGCGCGCTACAGATCACAGCTTAGGAACCTAGTTCCTCCACACTGCCAAGTCCTCTCACTTGACATGTCTGTGATCATGCATGGACTCCTCCATGCTCGGCCCCATGGCCCACCCTTTTTGAAGTTATCACCTTCAACTAGGGTCTTTGTTCCCCCGACGTGCCAATCTCACTTGGCAAGTCCTCCGACCATTGTAACATGGTTCCTGCATAAGCGTGAAAGTCCTTGACCATCGACTTTCGTTCAAAGCCCTCTCTTTGAACACTCGGGAACTACTTCCCTAACCTTGATAACCTTGCCTCATGGCAAGCTTCAAAACCACGCTTCTGCTGCGCCACTCTGATTTCGCGCGTTCCATGAACCATTTACACTTGGCCTTTCTAGGTACTACGCTACCTAGAATCGTCTTTGGGAACCTTGAAGGAACTCTGTCCCTCAGCTTGCTAAGGCCTCCCCTTTCGCAAGCTTTATAGTTGCCATATAGTCTAACATGGACAATTCCATATTTTAGACTCTCTATGGCATCACGGTTGCTAGCAACAACATCCTCGAGCACCCTCTTGATTCTCCACTCCCAACTTTCATAACCACTATTGGATATGCCCTTTGATTTCTATGGTTCAATTCCATCCCAATACTACTTGCTTTTGGCTTCACACCTTTCCTTCGGTCATTCTCCTCCAGACCAGGAGGATAGCTTTGCACTTTCTGTCATGCTTTAGCAAGTATTCTTAGGGATGGACCTACCCAATAGCCTAGGGAGTGGTTCCTCAATCCGGGTATGCTCACCTTATAATCCCACACACTGGGATTACATTGTTGCTTATGGGCCTTTACATGCCCATCACTAGCCTTGCCAAAATTCCATTTTTGGCTTTGTCCAATTCGGGTAGACAGTCCTCTCCTGTCTCCGCAACCTTGGACATTTGGATAGCACCTTCTATCCATCATTCGCTAGGGACTTAGTCCCTTGGGCTTTATCCATTGCCCTCGCGACATCAAACACCACCTTTTGGTGTTCTAGAGTGTTCGGGTGTCCCAATGATGGCTTTCTTGACAATGAGTATTTCCTTTTATGACATTGACTTACTATATCGCAACACAAGCAACTTATCCCCCGTAAGGGTATATCCAACTTCATTATGCTATTAAGAAGTCTTGGGTAGCTACCTTCTACCCGTTTAACCAGTTATTTTGCACCTCTTGCTTAGTTGCCTCATAGTTGTCAAGTCCTACAACTCATTGCTTGGTGCTTTCACACCTCCATCATTATCTGGGTCACCACACTCCAACTGCATGCTCTGCAGCTTAG